TGCTGCGAAGCCTGATGTAACCCATTTGAATATCTCATGCCCAGAGCTCTTGGATATGGCAAACGATTCACCCACTTCGCGAAATGATTTGCTGAAAGAGAATATACAAATATCCAGTAAACTGATTTCTTTTAACTGAAGAGTCTTGCCTACTTGCCACTCAGGAGTGTTAGGGTGTATAATAGTTTCTCTGGCAGCGATACTCGCGCAATTGGCTGGTGATGTTCCGCCCCTGCTATTGCTTTGCCCACAGCCTGCAGTAACAACTGTAAAGCATAATATTTATAATACGTAAATATAAAGGCTAAAAGGCAAATTGCTCACCTCAAAGCTGCTGCGCTTCATGCGAAACTGTTCCTTGAATTGATCATCCAGAAATCGTGGAATTTCTCGTTTATCCTTATCCACTTCATTCGCTGTATGTAGCACATTTAATGTACTTTCAGCTGTAACCAGTCGCACGGCCTCGGCCAGCTGTGGGCCCAGACCTTCGTCCAAAAAGAAGTTCAGCATGAACGCTTTGTGTGCGCGTGCATTCATTTTACCCGGAAAAATGCATAGGTAAACAAAATAAAAGTAAACACAGGTCTAACAGCAACAGCTGATATGATAATATTGAAATAGCGATGACAATTATTATCGATCTATCGCAAAAAAATGTGAACATAATTCAAATGTAAATGTCGAACATGTATAAAATCATCAACACAGAGATGAGAGACTGTTAAAGTATTTCAAAAATATCGGTCTATCGCAATGACTTTGCTGTATTGGAGCAATAAAAATGTTAATGAGACCTACAATTTGAAAGACAGTGTTAAAAATAGGCATTAAACTGTCTTATAAGTCTATTGGGACACGCTTGTCTAATTGAAGCCAATTTCATGAATCGATAATGTAAAATAACAGTTCTTACGAGAGCACTAACAGGCACTTAACAGCTACTTACTTGCAAAGGATATCAATACAATTTATACTTGTCATATAGATAATAGCCCAGTAGTTATTTCTATAAGACATTTAAAGTAACTCTAACCAAATATTACTCAAAATTACCGAAAATATCACTTTTCAAAATTGGCGATGGATCGCTGTTAATAACAGCGCAGCAAAATGTTAAGTTTTTGGTTGCCAAAAAAAAAAAAAAAAACATATGTTAGATGAACGACAATCAGGGGTTCCGTTCGTTCAGTTTATTTAGTGAGTCTTGGCCCGTGCAAATATCAAATAAATTTGCCAATATAAATTACAAAAACTCAAATTGCGCACTCGTTTTGCCAATAGCAGCAGGCAGCAGGGAGCGGACAGACAAAGGCCAATAGAAAACGCAATAGCTAAAATAAAGACACTAACAATAACAGCAACTGCAACAACGACAACAACTACAAAAAAAACAACAACACAACCACACCTGCTGCAAAATGGAGGCGGAGGGTCTGACAAATGAGCAAACAGACAAAGTGTTACAATTCCAAGATCTAACTGGCATAGAGGACATGAACATATGTCGCGATGTGCTCATGCGTCATCAATGGGATCTCGAGGTGAGTGTCGTGGCTCGCTTGCTTGGAGTCTTTGATTAACGAACGCATCTTCGGCAGGTGGCCTTTCAGGAGCAGATGAACATACGCGAGGGCCGACCCACAATGCTGACTGCCTCGACAGATGTTCGCGCACCGGCTGTGATCAACGATCGATTCCTGCAACAGGTCTTCTCGGCGAACATGCCAGGCGGACGCACTATTAGCCGGGTGCCAAGCATCGGGCCAATGCCACGCAGCTTCACGGGCATCCTCGGCTATGTGATCAACTTTGTGTTCCAATACTTTTACTCGACACTCTCTGGCATTGTGCGTGCATTTATTAACATTGGTGGCGGCAACGAGCCGCGCATTGTCTCCGATCCACTGGCCGATGTGATGAAGTTCATAAGAGAGTACCATGAACGCTATCCGGAGCATCCGGTCTTCTATCAGGGCACCTATGCCCAGGCCTTGAACGACGCCAAGCAGGAATTGCGCTTCCTGCTCGTCTATCTGCACAAGGATCCCACACAGAATCCAGATGTGGAATCCTTTTGTCGTGACACGCTCTCATCGCGCCCAGTTATTGACTATATCAATGCGAACACGTTGCTCTGGGGCTGTGATGTGTCCACGCCGGAAGGATATCGCGTGATGCAGACACTCACGGTGCGGACTTATCCCCTGATGGTTATGATTAGCTTAAGGGCCAACCGCATGATGGTCGTCGGACGCTTCGAGGGCGATTGCACGTCAGAGGAGCTGCTGCGTCGCCTCCAGTCGGTCATCACCGTCAACGAGGTGTGGCTGAGTCAGGCGCGAGCCGATCGACTCGAGCGAAACTTTACGCAGACGCTGCGCCGCCAGCAGGATGAGGCTTACGAGCAGAGTCTGCTTGCCGACGAGGAAAAGGAGCGTCAGCGCCAACGCGAACGCGACGCCGCTCGCGAAGTGATTGAGGCGGAGGAGCGCGCCCGACGAGATGTTGAGCTACGCAAGGAAGAGATAGCTAGGCAGAAGATTGAGTTGGCCAACCTGGTGCCGCAAGAGCCGCCAGCCGATGCTGCAGATGCCATTGCTGTGGTCTTCAAGCTGCCTGATGGCACACGTCTAGAACGACGCTTTCAACAAACAAATTCCATTTTGGTATATCATCAAAGCTAATCCCTAAACTGTGCCTCATTAACGATCTGATTTTCTTTCAGGACGTTTATCATTTCCTCTTCTGTCATCCCGCTTCGCCGGATGAGTTTGAAATTACAACGAATTTCCCAAAGCGTGTTCTCTATTCCAAGGCGGCCATCGATGCAGCCGAATGCTCTGTCGATGAAACCTACAGCAAAACCCTAAAGGATGTGGGTCTTAAGCATCGCGAAGTGCTCTTCGTCAATGATCTGGAAGCGTAACCAAGCCCTACTACCACCAAATAACAAAAACAATAACAAAACAAGAAAAATAACAAAAATGAAACATACAAAGGAACGGAACGAACACTGAAATCTTTGTGTTGCCAGCTAAACGAAAACGCATTACCAAATAACTTGAACCAAGTTTTGAGTAGTGGTAGTCCTCAAACCGAGTCCAATCCGTTTGGCACAGTCGGAGGTTGGAGCTTCGAAACAAACACGCAAGAACTCATAGACAACAACAAATAATTCCTAATTAATCATGAATAATATAAACAGAATTGTTTAACAATTTTTATGTTGATTTTCGTCTAACACCAATTTTTCCGCCCTACAAAATAACTTCAAACAATTTCCATTATTTTTTAGGATTTTCTTTTCTCAAACAAGTGTTGATTTAGCTGTATTTACTTGGCATTATTTAATTTGAAGACAAAAATTAAATAGAAATGAAGACAGTTTTTCATGACGAAATACAAAAGTTTGTAAAATAATTTTGTAACAATTTTATTCACTAAGTTTAAAAATGAAACCAATTTTAATTGGGTGGTAATCTAAAAGATACAATTTTAAAATAATAGGATAATAGAAAATGAAAGAGATAAATAATTTGCTAATCAATCAACTTATGAAATATTAAAAAAATTTTAGTTTATAAAATAAAATCAATTGCAGTTAAATTTAGAGAGTGACATAGAGAATCGATATTTGCATTACGTTTTAAAAAGTATCGATGTGTTGACAAGCCGACCACATTCAATTGTTGGCAATTTAATTTAATTAGTTGGCAAATCCTCAATAAATTGAATTGAGATCGTTGCAAAGACTAACAAATTAACAACAAACAAGTTCTTTTGATGACAAAAAAAAAGAAAATAAGTATTCTTAAGTTTCTTAGTGAAGCAAATTGCATTTGAAATAAATAAAGTATCGATAGATGCATTTTTAATTGGTAAATTCACTTTATCGATACGCTGACACTCAACACAGGGTGACTCATGCCCGCATATCTCATGAGTCAACTTGTTAAAGATATTTGTCGCACTTAATCAAAGAGGCACACACTCACAAATTGCGTGTCAAGCGTTGAGATTTCCAAGCTCTTAAACTGGACAGCAAATATAGTGACTCCGAGGAAGATTCCATTTGGCATAGCACAGACGAACGGGCACGTCTATTGCCCAAAAGAGGAAGCGAATCGAATAGTTTTGGCTTGCGGCCCAAGCTAAGGCAGCTGGCGTCTCAGCTGTTTGACCTCGAAGAGGTGCAGCAATTAACGCGTGGCCTACGCCAAGTGAATTACCAAAAGCTCAGCCAGGAGTTGCCTCAGAAGTTAAATAATCCCAAATACTCTAAAACCATGTCGGCACCATCAACCTCTTCCGTTGGCGATGCGGCTGCAGCGCTCTCTGGAAATTTGCAGCTTGCACCACTCCGAACTCTGGATGACTTTGTGCTCGGATCGGCGCGCTTTCAGCTGCCCAACTTGAAGGACTTTGACAAGTGGGGCAACCGCGTGGTCAAGAACTTGCTGTACTATCAGACGAACTACTTCCTCGTCTTTCTGGCCATCTACGTCATCATGATAGCCTGCAATCCCATGAAAATCATCAGCGGCCTGATCGTGCAGGCTCTGCTAATCGCCATCATTTGGCAGTTCTTTAACAGCAAGTCCAAGACGAACTTCATAGCCAGTCGCCTGACTGGTGGCAACCCGATTCTTGCTCAGCAGAATGCCCAGCAAAAATGGTACATCCTGGCAGGCGCCCTGCTGGCAAGCTATCTGTTCCTGCACATGATTAGCGCGGTTCTGCTGACGGCCTTCACGCTGCTGCTGCCCGTCTCGGTAACCTTCATCCATGCCTCGCTGCGGCTGCGCAACATGAAGAACAAGCTGGCCAACACCATCGAGAGCTTCGGCCCGTCCACGCCTATGGGCTCGCTCCTGGATGCATTGAATGTGCGCGCCGAGGGACTCGTCAATTAAAGCGGCAGATAAATAATGCTCATTGTTGGTCATGTTTGAGGGAATGTCTCCCCCTTTTGAATAGATGCTTCGATTCACTGTATACACCTATATATATATCTATATTTATATATTATGATTTGATCTTTTTTACGTTTAAAAATGAATTTCTTACCCACGTATTGTTTCTGCTAATAAGCAATTATAAAAGTCAATAAAAGTTTTCCCTTAAAGTAAATCATTAAATAACGAATTTCTGATGTTTACTCAAAGTTCACATGGATTGTAAACGTGCATACAGATGGATGTGATTGTAATATATATGCATACATATACGTTGAAGAGTTTGATATGCTTTAGGCAAAGGCAGACATTTACCAATAAATCGACTGGCTATTTGAAATAAACAGATTAGATAGCAGCACATTCGATTGTCAGGTACAGAGAAATATATGGGCTATATACAGATATAGGGTACAGTAATTTGAATTGAAAACAGAATAATGCTTGCCAACAAATCAAATGACTTCCATAAGTATGAGTATGTGAGGGCACTTCCTTTAGGTACTGAACTGAAAATATCGTTGAATATAATGAAATAGAAATGGAGAAGACTCTCTCCAGCAATAGTCGACTAATCTAGATTCCCGTTAACGGCTTAATATAGATTTTAAGCTCTCACGCAACTCAACCGTTGCTGGACAACCAGATAATAGCTGCTGCGTGCTGGAGAGCCAATCCCTGGGCACTTGGCGTTTGGGCGCGCACACTGTCACACCCTCCAAAGAGCAATAGTTCTCGTCGTTTATAATTGTGAAGTTCAGCTTGGCATCGCAGCTAGCCATCAAGACAATATCATTTTCGTTCTTGTGCGAGACTTCCAGTAGCTTCGCATCTACGGCACCCAAGCAGTGCGGCACGTGCCACAGCCCCTTATGTCCTGCAACAATTTTGCGCCAATCCGAGACGCTGGGATGTGGCATAAAGGCGGGTGATAGCGTATTGCACAGCACTTCGCTCATATCCTGGATAGTGGCAGGCACTGTGGAGCAGCTCATTTTGAAGGCGTTCGACAGATCGACCACACGCTCTGCGCTGCAAAGGTAGTTGCAGAATATACGTTCTTGTAACGGCACGATATTTCAGTAATATTCTTACTCACACTGGCGTTAGGAAGAGCCGGCATTCAGGATCTATGGGCCGGTGTATGGAGTTCTTATTCAATTGCTCCCCAACCAAGCCGGTTCGAGTACGGAATTCCCCATGGTTGGTTGCATTGTAAAAGATCTTGGCAAACAGGTAATCAAAATCGCGATTCAGATTCTCCTCATTCACCCAAATCCTGCGCCGGCTCTCATTCACATTTTCCACTTTGCCATGTCGCCACCTTTTGCTTGGCGGATCTTCAATCGTCACTTGGATCTTTGCCCGCTTTGTTGGTCATTTTTCTAACGTTACCAGCGCTTCATAAGGCAAAGGAACTATTTGTTGCAGACAGTGCAAATCTTCGACGTCCATTTTAACAGAATTGAATCGCGCGCCGCTCAGCTAACAATTAGCGCACTGAACGTAAAACTCCCCGGTTACCGATAGAAAAGTATCGATACTTAGTCAGCTTTCCGTAGATAGCGTAAGAATCGTTTCGATTTCATAGCGATTCAAAATTGAAATATATTTGACGGAATTCTATTAAATAGCATTTATAAATATTTAACAATAAAGTTAAAATAGTAAATTAGGCTATGAATAACTATCTAATTTAAAAATAAATGTATGTATATGTAATAACTTAATTTAGTTTCATTTTTGTAATATAAAACTAAATCGATCTTACCCTCGAGCTTTTGCTGGATATCAATTGTGTTATTAGCGCGTATTTTGAATACTAATCGAATGCTAGTCATAAATTATATATTTGTTGTCGCTTTAGGGTTATAAATAGATTTGCAGAAATTGCTTCTCAATTGTTTCCCTTCGCGTAGCAGAATCACATTTTGTCACAGAGATAAAAAGCTGAGAGCCAAAGAGATGAAAATTCTGGACTCCCCCGTTGCTCTTTGTCTTGTTACTGCTGCGACAAATAAAAAAGGGAAAATGTATTCATGTATATGGAATATATAGCAAAAAAAAAAAAAAATGACATAAGTGTTTTTTCTTCTTTGAAATTTATTTTTGCTTAAAAAGTAAAAAGCGCAGTTTCGAATTAGTGCGCATTTGTTAGCTGCAGTGATTGGTAGAACAATTGACAAAGATAATAATTTGAAAACAAAAAATGTTGGAATTGATGCGCAATCATTGGACTCTGCTACGAGATGTATATCAACACGATCGCACAAATCTAACGGGCTACGATCTAATCAATAGCTATATAAATTGCAACGAACAAGCGAATCATGTGAAAATTTACACGACGGACGATGATTGGATGGATCATGGAACATTTGTGCTAATCGTTAGTACTATATGAAGGGAATATAGACAATATATAGTTATGTATATACATGTCTATTACAGCACAACAATATCAACAAATCAGATATATATCTAAATACTCTAAGTGGTTCGTTCAGGGATCTACAAAATCTGCTGAATTCTCTTCAACTGAACGATCGAGTCTGGTTTTGTGGCTATAAACAGGTATTGAAGTTACCTGTAAATAACTTTTGCCTTGAGAGAGGACTAAGTTTGAAGAAGTTGGATCAAGTGGAAACATATGTATATTATTTACCTCAAACGACTATAGAATCATTCGATAGTCGGTAAGATATGACTTAGTTTAACATATTATATATATGTGTATATAATACATATTTTTCAGTTTAATTGCAGATATAAATTTCGCTCCATTGAGCCTTAAGCACGCTACTTTAGTTGATGAACATTGGCCATATCGTTCAACTGATTCTTTGGCACTGATCGAGGATCGCATCCAAAATCATATTAGTGTTGGCGCTTTCGATGGAAATGGTCAACTTTTGGCCTGGTGCTTGAGGTGGTAAAATTCGAATTATATATCTCTTATACATATATACCACTAATATTTCCTTTAATTTAGGGCTGTCCAGGGTAGTCTCAGCAATTTGTATGTGTTACCCTCTTATAGGCGTCTCGGTCTGGCTTCTTTGCTGGTGCGTCATATGGCTAAAGAAATTGCCGCAACTGGAGCCGAGGTTTTGGCCACGATTGCCTTTGGCAATGAAATTTCCCAGCTATTTTTTGAGAAACTTGGTTTCAAGCTTATCGACAGTATAGTCTTCACCATGGTGCCTGCACTCTGATTCTACTGTATAATTATATATATCATATATCAAACATGAAATACCTCAACAAAATATAGAATATAAAGCTCATTGCTGAATGTAAACAAACAAGTGCTCTTTATTAAATATAAATTTTACATGATAATTATTACTATTAAAATGTGTTACACAACGTTTATTTATTTTCAGATAATTTAAAATTAACTTATTTCAATTTTACTGAATGTATTTGAATTCGCTCCAATTGCTCATAATCCACTATAACACACTGCAGCTTCAATTACTTTGAACTTCACCCGTAACCGTTTACCAGCGAATATGCAGAAAAAATACTCTGCATGCTATTGTAACCAACCAGCAACAGATCAGCGAAGCGACTGAGCAAGAGCTGACAGATGCTTCCCATTTTATAGACAGCACAATTCGCTCAAAATAGGAGCTGAGCGCATGAGAGCTTTTTTGAGCTAGTTGTCTTACTCATTACATACGAAGTGCATGCAGAAGAAGAATAAGTGTACTTATTACCGACAGGCAGAGTAACGGAGATAAGTAAACCGACTCAGCTCTTCTTACTCATTGAGAATATCATTTTTAGATTTTAGTTGATATTGTATCCAAGTAGAATTAGTTCGTCTCGACATAGTATGTATGTATGTATGTATACGTGCACATGTTTTATATTATGCTTGATAGACATTCACAGTAATCTAATCTACTGAATGAATTTACAGTTTAGTTACCTGACGAATTATCTTTTTACTGATTTCTCAGTGTTTAGTCGAAAATCTTTGTCAACGCCGGCGCTGCTGCCAGCTGTTATTAATCTTATAGTATCAATGCATGCTGAGACTCTCTTCATTTAGTTAGCTGCACTAGAGGCCTTGCACTTGCGCACACATATGCGTATATGTATGTTTATATGTATACAGTTACATTTGATTACTTGCGTTTCATTTTTTGAAAATTGTAAAATGATAAACACATGTACCCAATTGTTGTCAACTGACTCTCTCTCGCTCTTTCGAATTCGCCTATTTATAGAAGTGCTTATGATTTCGCCCTTTTTAGTTGTCGGGCGAACTTGGAGCCGGTTGGTCATGTCGCAAATGCAATACAAGTCGCATTCGCTTGTCGAGATAAGCCGCAGTGAATGGAAAACTTTGCTAGAGCTTTACAAGCACAAACCACTTGAACCCAATGGATATGGGCTAATAAAGAATTATATTAAATGGGTAGCTGAAGATGAGAAGGTGGATGCTAAAATATATTCGCTCGATGGCGAATGGCAAAGCGATGGCACTTTTGTAATGATTGTATGTACACAGAGAGAGTGCAGTTAAGAAGAGAGTAAAGTAATGAGAGTGTGCTCAACAAATTATGCATACATTTACTACTCTTCGTAGGTTGACCATGGCATGGCCGTCAAAGAACTCTCTTTTAATACACTCAGCGATAATTTTGAGCGATTGACAAATGCAATGCTTTGTGTGCTATACGAAGCTACCGATGCTTATTTGCTCACAGCCTATGGAGAGCGGCTTATACCAGTAGTAGATGCCTTAAGAGAGACATGTAAGAGCATTTTGAAGAGAACGGATCAAACAGTCTGGTACAGAGCGAGCAAAGAGTTAGTTGCAAGCTTTACAGCGGAGTATGTATTTGTTACAGACTACAGAGAGCTCTGAAAGCTCTATTAACATTTGTGTTTTGGTTTTTTAGCCCACCTGCTGGAATCGAGTTGCGTCGCTTGGAGGTGAAGCACGCCTCGGCCATCAATGAAATCTGGCCGCATCGTTCGGAAGGTTCTGTTGCATTTGTGAAGAGCTTGATAACTCACAATATTTCAGTGGGCGCCTACGATGAGCAAGGCAATTTAATAGCCTGGTGTATGAGGTGTGAACGATAACCTATCGAATATGTATATGTGTGTTTGTACTTAAAGAGTTCCTTCACAGATTACCTAGTGGAGCGTTGGGTCTGCTGCGGGTTGTGGATACCCACAAGCGCCTTGGCTTGGGTAGTTTAATGGTTCGTTATTTATCCAAAAAAATTTCGGAGCTCGGAGATGAAGTTAGGGCACCTGTTGTAACGGAGAATACGCCCTCTCGCAAAATGTTTGAAAAGCTTGGCTTTCAGCAGATCGATCACGTTTACTGGAGCTGGTAGCGACAATTAATACAAACTTTAAGATAAGTAATGCAACAATATTCCAATATTTCAGAATATGTATTAGAAATGTTGGTCATTTCTTTGTTTTGTGTATTGAATTGTCATTCAAAATTATGAGCTTTTACTTTTGTTAAAATAATAATAATACTAATAAAATTTATGCACATGATTTTATTGTTTTTATATTAGGGTATTTAATAGTCGAGCATTTCTGACTAAATAATCCATTATTAACTCTTCTAGTGAATGTAACAAAAACAATACTTGAATTAGGGCAGCTGCATGACAAAAGCTGAGTGCTACGAGACTCTGCATGACAAAAGCTGGATGCTACGAGACTCGATCAGGTACATCAATGCCAAAGACTGAATAATATAAATTGATTGTTCATGAAATATAAAACATATTCATGTGCTTAACTCTTCTAGTGAATGTAATAAAAACAAAATTCGAAACTTGAGTTTAGGCGGCTGCATGACAAAAGCTGATTGCTACGAGACTCTGCATGACAAAAGCTGAATGCTACAAGACTTGATGTATGCTACTGTATGCCGTATGCCGTATGCTGTATGCTGTATGCTGTATGCTGTATGCTGTATGCTGTATGCTGTATGCTGTATGCTGTATGCTGTATGCTGTATGCTGTATGCTGTATGCTGTATGCTGTATGCTGTATGCTGTATGCTGTATGCTGTATGCTGTATGCTGTATGCTGTATGCTGTATGCTGTATGCTGTATGCTGTATGCTGTATGCTGTATGCTGTATGCTGTATGCTGTATGCTGTATGCTGTATGCTGTATGCTGTATGCTGTATGCTGTATGCTGTATGCTGTATGCTGTATGCTGTATGCTGTATGCTGTATGCTGTATGCTGTATGCTGTATGCTGTATGCTGTATGCTGTATGCTGTATGCTGTATGCTGTATGCTGTATGCTGTATGCTGTATGCTGTATGCTGTATGCTAAATAGAAGGTATAGCCCTATGAATGATTAAGAAACTGTGCTTAACTCTTCTAGTGAATGTAATAAAAACAAAATTCGAAACTTGAGTTAAGGCGGCTGCATGACAAAAGCTGATTGCTACGAGACTCTGCATGACAAAAGCTGAATGCTACAAGACTTGATGTATGTTACTGTATGCCGTATGCTGTATGCTAAATAGAAGGTATAGCCCTATGAATGATTAAGAAACTGTGCTTAACTCTTCTAGTGAATGTAATAAAAACAAAATTCGAAACTTGAGTTTAGGCGGCTGCATGACAAAAGCTGATTGCTACGAGACTCTGCATGACAAAAGCTGAATGCTACAAGACTTGATGTATGCTGTATGCTGTATGCTGTATGCTGTATGCTGTATGCTGTATGCTGTATGCTGTATGCTGGCTATGAGCACCAGTTAATGATTATGGCTATTAAATTGTAATACATTGATATACTGTTACTGCATTGTATACTGTTACTGCAGAGCGCCTGGAAAAAGTTTCAAATTAAGCAACTAATTTGTTACTAAAAGTACTTTGAATTAGTATGCTTTATATAGATTTCGATAACTTTACATCGATTTCGATAACTTCTTATTGGTTTCGATAAATTCTTATCGGTTTCGATAACTTTTCATAGATTTCGATAACTTTTTATCGATTTCGATAACTTTTTATCGGTTTCGATAACTTTTATCGATTTCGATAACTTTTCATAGATTTCGATAACCTTTCATAGATTTCGATAACTTTTTATCGATTTCGATAACTTTTTATCGATTTCGATAACTTTTTATCGATTTCGATAACTTTCCATCGATTTCGATAACTTTTTATCGGTTTCGATAACTTTGTATCAGTTTCGATAACTATTTATCGGTTATGGCCGAAGCTAAATGCTCATCCATTGATGCTGTATGCTGTATGCTGTATGATGTATGATGTATGCTGTATGCTGTATGATGTATGATGTATGCTGTATGCTGTATTTATCAAGTTTTATCAAGTTTTATCAAGTTTTTATCAAGTATGATGTATGCTGTATGCTGTATGCTGTATGCTGTATGCTGTATTTATCAAGTTTTATCAAGTTTATTTGTCTGAAATGGCGCTCAACGTAATGACCTTGGGGGGTCAATGACCTTGGGGGGGTCAATGACCTTGGGGGGTCAATGACCTTGGGGGGGTCAATGACCTTGGGGGGTCAATGACCTTGGGGGGTCAATGACCTTGGGGGGGTCAATGACCTTGGGGGGTCAATGACCTGGGGGGGTCAATGACCTTGGGGGGGTCAATGACCTTGGGGGGGTCAATGACCTTGGGGGGGTCAATGACCTTGGGGGGTCAATGACCTTGGGGGGTCAATGACCTTGGGGGGTCAATGACCTTGGGGGGTCAATGACCTTGGGGGGGTCAATGACCTTGGGGGGGTCAATGACCTTGGGGGGTCAATGACCTTGGGGGGGTCAATGACCTTGGGGGGGTCAATGACCTTGGGGGGTCAATGACCTTGGGGGGGTCAATGACCTTGGGGGGTCAATGACCTTGGGGGTCAATGACCTTGGGGGGGGTCAATGACCTTGGGGGGTCAATGACCTTGGGGGGTCAATGACCTTGGGGGGGTCAATGACCTTGGGGGGTCAATGACCTTGGGGGGTCAATGACCTTGGGGGGTCAATGACCTTGGGGGGGTCAATGACCTTGGGGGGGTCAATGACCTTGGGGGGGTCAATGACCTTGGGGGGGTCAATGACCTTGGGGGGGTCAATGACCTTGGGGGGGTCAATGACCTTGGGGGGTCAATGACCTTGGGGGGGGTCAATGACCTTGGGGGGGAAACTTGAGTTAAGGCGGCTGCATGACAAAAGCTGATTGCTACGAGACTCTGCATGACAAAAGCTGAATGCTACAAGACTTGATGTATGCTACTGTATGCTGTATGCTGTATGCTGTATGCTGTATGCTGTATGCTGTATGCTGTATGCTGTATGCTGTATGCTGTATGCTAAATAGAAGGTATAGCCCTATGAATGATTAAGAAACTGTGCTTAACTCTTCTAGTGAATGTAATAAAAACAAAATTCGAAACTTGAGTTTAGGCGGCTGCATGACAAAAGCTGATTGCTACGAGACTCTGCATGACAAAAGCTGAATGCTACAAGACTTGATGTATGCTGTATGCTGTATGCTGTATGCTGTATGCTGTATGCTGTATGCTATATG